GGATTAGATTAGCATAAGACCCTAATCATCCCCCTCTAGGGTCTAACAACGTTAAGATCCTAGCCCATTTCTATTATCTCCACAACAATATCTACATTTTAGAAGTTTCCAGAAGGGTCACCAACAACATATTCACTATGTCCCGCCTCCCTCCTCCTTAACTCCTCCGACACCATTCACTTCCTCTCCTTCATTCTGAGACCCTAACCAATACCTATTTGAACGTCTTCACCACTCTCCCATCAATCCTCGTTGCGAGGGTCATCGGAGAAGGATCATAGAAACGATGAGGGATGAAGGTGATGATGCTGTACTTGGAGGTGGATATGACGTTGGTTGGATGATGATGATGGTGATGGTGATGGTGATGGTGATGGTGATGGTAATGGGTTTGATATTGCTTAATTTAGTTTGTTGCCGAGTTTTTTGGTTAGTTGTTAAGATTATAGTTTAGTGTTAACCACGCAGATTGGTTGTTAGGTTTACAGCATAGTTATCAAGTTTATAGCGTAGTTGTTAAGGTTACACTTTAGTCGATAAGGATACACATTAGTTGTTAAGTTTATAGTTTGGTTGTTAATGTTACAATTTAGTTATTAAGTTACAGCATCGTTGTTATATGTTAATTATTAAGGTTCAGTTTATTTCATAATGATACACATTAATTGTTAAGTTCAGGTTGGTTGTTAAGATTACAAATTAGTTGTTAAGTTTACAGTGTAGTTACTAAGTTTATATGTTTGTTGTTAAGGTTATAATTTAGTTGATAAAGATACACGCTAGTTGTTAAGTTCACAGCTTTGTTGTTAATGATAGAGTTTAGTCGTTAAGTTTACAACGTAGTTAAGTTTATATATTCTTTGTTGAGGTTATAATTTAGTTGATGAAGATACATGTTAGTTGTTAAGCTCATAGCTTTGTTGTTAATATTAGAGTTTAATTGTTAGGCTTACAGTGTAGTTATTAAGTTCATATGTTGGTTGTTAAGGTTACGCTTCAGTTGATGAAGATACACCTTAGTTATTAAGCTCACATATTTGTTGTTAATGTTATAATTTAGTTATTAAATTTACAGCGTAGTTATTAAGTTTAGATATCGGTTGTTAGGGTTATAGTTTAGTTGATAAGGATATATGTTAGTTGTTAAGTATATAGTTTGGTCGTCAATATTACAATTTAGTTGTTAAAGATACACGTTAGTTGTTAAGGTTACAACTAATTTATTAAGTTACACATTAGTTGTTTAGGCTACATATTAGCAGTCAAACGTATGAGTTTTTTTATGTAATTTACAAATGCGACAATGTTACTTCAAATGTTGCTCAGTATTTTAACAGTTAGATAAGAAAGACATGAATTTTATACACAAGCAAATTATGGAGCACATGTCGAAAAAAGCGTGGGTTTGTTGGGACGGTAGAAATGGTAATCCGACAGAAGGAAGATGAATAGTGTGATGATGGAGGTGAGTAATGCGATAGAGGATTCAATGATGATGTGTTGTGTACTGCCATTATACTGTAAAAATTCTAATCTTAGTTTTAGAAAATTACAAAGATGAAGGAAGAAGAAATGTGGGGCTTTTTTTTGTTTGTGTTGGCAG